ACAGGCAATCGTTCGATGGGCTGAATTGCACAAAACGCATAATCGCACCGGCTAGTCTGGTGCGCGATGCCATTTATTTTTATTAGTTTTTTGGTAAGAAGAATCTTTCTGAACTTTTGCCCATAATTGTCAGTGATGTCGATTTGTTTTAAAACAGTTTATCATTATTAATTTTAAAACTGATGATGAGTTATTTGATGGATATGTTTAGTTTGGGAGCCGAAGTTTTGCACGTGAAGATTTGGATCATGCTGATCTATGGGCTCAGTTGTCGGAAAGTGAAAAGAAAATTATGCGTGAAATGAGCGAAGACAAGTCAATTGCTGAAAACCTTATCAACAGTTTATTCCCAGACGTCTACGGAAACGATGAGGTCAGCGAGCTTTTGTCTTTCTTCTAGACTCACAGTAAGAATTTCATAATTTGCGTCTCGTTTTCGACATTTGCTGAATGAATCTTTGTTAATAAAAACACCGGCATTGATCTAGTTTGCCCCGTTGAAGTTACTGTTCTTCTATGCTATTTTCCCGTTAATGCATTAAAAGTTTTATCACATTTTTGTTACTTTGGAGATCCAAGTCATTTTTTTTTTATAATCACGAAGATGTTACAGGTAAAGCTTGGGGTTCTTCTCATGCTTTTTGGCGGAGTTCAAAAGCGAAGCACTGCCGATGGGACCACACTGCGAGGTGATATCAACGTTTGCCTGATCGGTGATCCAAGTACAGCCAAAAGTCAAATTCTAAAGTGAGTTTCCGCTTACTCAGAGTTTTTCTACAAACCACAGAGATCATTCACAGTAAAAGTTGGAGTTCATGTCACCGAGAATTGGTCGCACACTGTGCGTAACTGTGTATGAAGTTTTCCTCTTCTGTGCTAATTATCTTAAGATTGAGCCCGTTGCATACGTGAATATTTACTACCAAATTTTTTTGTGAGCACTTATTTGCTTTTGAGTTTCTCTTTCTGCTCTTTTGGGGAAGATAAAAGGAGAAAAGTGACAAAAAACAATTTTGGGCAAAGCAAAATCTGTAACTTTTTGATAACATTCATTTTCAGGACGGTGGAGCATTTTTCGCCGAGAGCGGTTTATACTTCTGGCAAAGCTTCCTCAGCGGCCGGTTTGACAGCAGCGGTTGTGAAGGATGAAGAGTCATTTGAGTTTGTTATTGAAGCAGGCGCCCTGATGCTCGCAGACAATGTTTGTCTGTTTATCTGTTCTTTCCCTCTGTTTTTCTGTACGAATTTTAGCTTCGCAGTACTGACTTACAGTTTTTTATCAACAATTATACGTTGCAGGGTGTTTGTTGCATCGATGAATTTGATAAGATGGATTTGAGGGATCAGGTTGCGATCCATGAGGCAATGGAGCAACAGACTATTTCAATCACAAAAGGTGCATAATTTTGGGTGAAAATTCGATTTATTTTTTTTTTTTTCGCTCTATTTTTGAGTACCAGCCATCAAGGCATCTTTAAAATGCTGTGGATCAGTGGTAGGTGGACAACATATAGATACAGTGCGGACCTGCACATCGACTGTAGGCATTTTCATAAAATTACATGTTTCTAAATTTGATTCTCAGGTACCAATAGCATCCAATTTGGACTTTCTCGGGCACGTATACGAGACAGGCCTGCCTCAGAATTGATTTTGATTTTAAAAGGTTGCACATAAACAGGAAACAACACAATTTTTAGCTTTCTACCGTGACTGAGTTCCGAATCCGTTACCCGCCAAAAATATCTTCTCGCGCCCGTAACTGAAGAATAAGAATACTTAAGCATCCTTTTATTCCTGCGGCCTAAATATAATAGTAGGACATGCTGCCGAATTTTAGTTTCATAGCCTTCGTAGGTGTGGAGGTCGAAATGTGCGGTCAAAAATACGCACAAGCAAGTGGCCTCTATCAGTATCTTATCTGTAATGCAAAAACGCATGAAAATTGATGAAATGGATTAACTGAAATACAAAAATGTACAAAAGCAGGTAAGGATGTGTAAGTAAATGCGACTGTACGATGCGTGGAGGTGAGAATCACGGAAAACACTGTTGGAGCTAAAACAGTTGAAAAGCTTGAAGTGCTCACCTACCTACCCGTATGCTCGAATATATGAACTTGTTTTACGCCGACTCTCACACTTTTGCCTAAATGAACTTTCGGGGAATAAGCAAAAACTCAGTGCCCCAGAAAAGAACCACCCAAAAAGTGGGGTATTCTGGTTTCTGCGCAACTTTTTTATACAACTGGCAAATTTCTCAGTTTAGCTGGAGTTAAAGCGACGCTGAATGCCCGTGCTTCAATCTTGGCAGCAGCAAACCCGGTTGGTGGTCGTTATGATCGCTCACGGCCCTTAAAAAATAATATTCAGCTGTCTGCGCCAATCATGTCCAGATTTGATCTCTTCTTCGTCCTAGTCGACGAATGTAACGAGGTAAGCTTTTACTTTTGCCTAGATTTGAAGGTAAAACATTTGTTGTTTTTGACCTTGTCCTTTGTTGTTCACTTATTGATTGCAAATGGTTTTGGTTTGACAGAGAGGTCCTTTTTCAAAGGCTGTAATTTCAAAAAAAAAAATTCAAGTAAATAATCGCACTGGACGTGTTCGGGACAGCATTATCCGTTAACACCAAAGTGCCAGTTTTCAACTAAAAACTGGCACTTTGGTGTTAATGGATAAAATAAATTTAAAAAAAGAAAGTTGAAATATTTATATTTAGGCGAAATTATGCTTTTCCTAATAATATGTTTTATAACCCGTGATTGGTGTTCACTGGTCTCTTCGTGGGAGATAAGGATCCCTAATATTCTCAGCATTTCTTCACCTTTTGAATGTTGTTGTTTTGCGCTGCATCAATCAACTTTACATATTTTGTTCAGCTTTTTTGAACGTTTATTGTATCCTTGTTTTGCTTAGTCGAATCTCCTGAGAACTTTATTTTGGTTGGTAAAACTCAGGCGGATATCGTTGGCTGGTCTGTCCTTCAGTAATTTTTTACCGAGTTAAAGTTACAGAAGTGCTTCTGGTTGCTCGAATTTGTTGTTTAGATTGTTGATTATGCAATAGCTCGTCGTATTCTCGACACTCATCGTCAGCTAGCAGCAAACGATCAACCGAAGACTGTGTACAGCTTCGACGACATTCAACGATATATTGCTTTTGCTCGCTGTTTCAAACCAACGGTTCTGCATTTTAGACTTTTTTTCAAAAAAAAAAAACAGAGCACGAATTGCCATGATGAAGAATGAATCGTTTTCTTGCATCACTAAATTTTGTTTTAGATTAGCGATGCAGCTGGTATGCTTCTTGTCAGTGAATATAAACGACTGCGTATGAGCGACAGTAATAATTCGGCTACTTCATCCTGGCGAATAACGGTGCGGCAGCTGGAATCGTTGATACGTCTTTCTGAGGCACTTGCTCGACTTCATTGTGAGAGTGAAGTGAGTTAACTTAATCGATCCGCCAGTTTTTTGTTGGTATGCTAAAGCGTTTAAGTTTGTGCGTAGAAATAAAGCATGCGTTTAGGCAAAATTACTGGGCTTGCGGTTTCACGTCTGCTTTTTGCTTTTCTTCATTCCGTTGCGTCTGTTTATCGTTATCGTTACAAGCCCATGCCCACAGTTCCGTAAATACGTAATGTTTGGTTTTTTTTTTTTT